GAGAAAGGTGGGGTGAAAATATTTTAAGTAAATAAACAAATCCAGGTGCAGTTGTCTGAGGTCTTCATAGGATTGTTGTCCGATGAAGAGACCTGCAGATCTCTGAAGTTTGCACCCTTTTGATTAACCTTACAAAGGTGTTACCCCCCAAAAATATGGATTTTTTTTCTTGTGGCCCACGTAAGAAACCGTGGAAGTCAAAGCTTATGGTTTTTCTCTTCAGTTGCCTCATTGATGGGAGATCGGATGCCAGCTCAGCTTTTCTGTCACCAAGGCTCAGGGAAGACTCCCTCCGGTTCACCGTCGAGGTCTTTCGCTTCTCAGAAGATCCCCGGGATCTGGTGAGAGGCCTTCTATGGCCGTAGCTTAAATGGCCCTGCGGTGTGACCTTTGCCCTTAGTGAGGCACTGAGGTCCTTTCGTTCTGGTCTGTCTTCCTTCGTCTAGATCTACATCACGTGCCACTTGAAGGTTTCTGCGGTGGATCGGGCTCCAGACCACGAACACAAGGCTTGTTCTTTCAACAAAGCAAGTGACAGGTGAGTGGACTGAGATGCCCCCAGGCAAAGAAAGGGGTCAAGTCCTCTTCTTCCTCCTTCCCCTGTTAAGTGATCTGTGTCGAAAGTACATTGATCTACCCTGCACGGTTACAGCAGATGGAAACCCGCTCAACCCTGACGGCTTCAGTCTACATAGCATCCTGGGAGTTGTAGTTTGATTGAGGTATTTGGAATGGTCTGGTAGAGCAGTGCTTCCCAGTCTTGGGTCCCCAGAGAGAGGTTCTTGGACTGCAACTCCCAGCAGCCCTTGCCAGCACAGCTCGTGGTGAAGGCTTCTGGGAGTTGTAGTTCAAGAACATCTGGGGGCCTCAGGCTGGGAGCCACTGTGGTAGAGAATTCACTCCACACCTCCGTGAGCTTGGTGGCAGAGAATTCAGGAATCCTAGGATGGGGAGGTTGAAGATTAAAGGGGGTACCAAACTGCTAAAACTAGATAGTGCAGACACTCCAAACTCTCACCAGATTCACTAAGGAGAATCCCTGATACAACCTATAATTCTTCTTAGTACTTCAGAGAATCTACTTTGAAAGTCTGCAGCCTCCTCCACTTTCCCTCTTCGGAGGCTGTCCAAATGCAGCCTCCATGGTTTGAACATCTGTCCACTCCCACTTGCTTTGTTTAGCATTGTGCCTATATCAAGAGTTCTGTCAAACTCAAAGGCTTACACATTGCTGCTTGTGAAATGGCTTATAACCCAATGAGCCTCCCAAATATCAGATTCCTAAGTTGCTGTTCCTGTTTTTGGCCAACAGAGGCACTTTTGCTTTTAATATTTTTAACCTCCTTTCCAATTTAAACAAAAAAGATTGGTTCTCAAAATGCCCCCCATATAGTGGTTCTCAAACTTTAGCCTCCCAGTTGTTTTGGACTTCAACTCCCAGAATCCCAAAGCATTGGATAAAGCAGCTGGGGCTTGTGGGAGCTGAAGTCCAAAACATCTGGACAGATAACAGTTGAGAAGTATTTCCCTAAGTCAGTGGTTCTCAACTTTGGGTCCCAGGAGGTTCTTGGGCTAAAACTCCCAGAAGCCTTCACCCCTAGTTGTACTAACCAGGATTTCTGGGAGTTGTAGTCCAAGAACATCTGGGGACTCAAGGTTGGGAAGCAGTGCCCTAAGGAGAGAGATTAGATGTTGTCTTAACACCAAGTTCTGCAGGTAACCTTCATGTTTCACATCTGCTTTCCCACCACCTGTTCTGTTCCAGCTGGATTCCAGTGGAAGGGACCCAGAGCATCTGTGCCTGTTGTGAAAGCAGGAACTGCGAACAAGGCCAGCCGAGAAGGTTACGCCCCTGGGACAGATGGGAAAGAGGACGGCGATCTGTTGGAGAGGAAGAGCCTGCTAAGCATAGTATGGTCAACAGTTCTGAATGGATCACTCAGTGGTTTAAGTAGAGATTGGGAGTTCGATCCCCCGCTGCACCTCTTTGACAGGGATGATCCATAGGGTCCCTTCCAGCTCTGCAATTCTAAGATGATGATGATGATGATAACAAGCAGTCAATTGCAGGGTTGCCAGATCAGTAGCTCCCCTTTCCATCAGGTTTCAAGACAAAAACCCGAGCCTGGTGGGGACTGGAAGGCCCTTGTCATATCCTAGGGATGGTCCCTGGTGTAACAGCTGTGCAATACTAGCTGAAATCCAGTGGTAAGTGGCAACCAGAGTAGGCCCATTGAATCAGTGGGGAGTTGATGAATCAACCCCTCTGTAAGTTCCATACATTGAATGGACCAACTCTAGTTGCAATTTTCTACCAATATTTCAGCCATTAGGTCTGCGTATATCTGTATCCTTGAGCCACCAAACAAGGTTTAGGAGTCCCAGTGATGGTGCTTCACTTCTTGCTGTGCTAAAAATAGTGTGAAGGGGCATAAGTGTTGATAACTACCAGCTCTCTCCTCGGTCGTCTCCTCTTAGTTCCGATGTCTTGGTGCAGCAGTCTTGTGCATGCACAACACATAAAAATCACTTTGTGCTGAATCTGTTGGAGATAGATGCTGAGGCTTTAAAGCCACCTGACCTGCAAAAGAACAGACCTTTTCATTTTCTGGTGCTGCTCACCTGAGAATTCCTCTCCTGTCCTGGGAAGAGATTTGGGAAACCACTGTTGGCGGGTTTTGTTTTTTCCAACCTTGCACGCTGCCTTTAATAGGTTTGGCTTGGAAGGGACCCTTCTGGGCTGGAGTGATTATCCATCTATCCAGCACTAAGCAATCGTTCTTTCCCTGCGTCTGAATTCAAAGAGAGCCCAGCCCTTTCTGCTCTGTGTCCTCTTTCCCTCTGTTGAAGTCTGTTGCTGAAAACAGGCATGTTGGTCAGCTTGCTATTTGATTTGTTCAACTGTAGATAATGACACCTTTTTTTTCTTTCTGCTGCACATGTCTTGAGTGAATTCTTGAGAATTTTAAGTGCCCATCAATGAGAAAGGGGTGGACTAATCTGGGAAACTGGAAGCTATTCTGTTCTGTGACTCCCTCTCCTCCTGTGGTGCAGCTAGAGGAGTTAACCAAAAATTCGAAACTCTGCAACAATCAGAACAGTTCTTTGAGACTTGACACCCTAAGGAAGTTTATTTCTCAGCCTCCAGCCCAGCGCTTGCTAGTGTCACCGTGGTCTCATGAGCGTCATTTTAACTTTCTCTGAATACAGATAAACTGAAGGAAGTGGAGACGGATGTAATGCTGGGCCCGATCCTCATCCTTGATGCATACATGACTTCCAGGAGCCTCGCTGGACGTCACACTGGAGCACGGGGAACGTTAGGAGAAGAGGGTAATTTGGAATGTTGATCTGTAAGCTAGGGCTTGCAAAAGGTGACTTTTTGAACTACACTCCCCAGAATCCCTCAGCAAAGCACAGCTCCTCGTAGACGTCTCGAAGACGCCAACCCAAAATATCACATTTTCCAAGCTGAGATATAAATGTGGGAAAATATTCAGTGGGAATGGAATGGGAACTAATTCAAAACTCTGGATGTAACACTGAAACAGTTTTGCAAATTACTGTCTGGTGGTGCCCTAAAATGATGCTTGTACTTAGCATGTCTAGCAGCCTGCTTCTTGAATAGCATGTATTTCAGTTATTTTGTTCTTACACTCAAGCAAAGAGAGACCACTGTACCCAGGCAGGGAGAGGTTTATACCTTCTGATCTAGCCTGGCCTTTTCTAGAGAGGCTCAAGAAAAAGATAATCCCATTCATGCTCGCTGCTACTTTATCGTGATGTTGGGATTGCTGAGGGGTTGATTTGAAAGCTGCTAACTCTTGCTTTACTCTTCGCAGACCTGTTTCGTGCTCCTGGGATGTTGGCCGGCCTCATCTTGATGGCCATTGCCATGATCCTGGCTCTCGCTACGCTAGGAATCCTTTGTTCTCGGAGGAAGCGGTCTGGTTCTCCGTAAATAGTGTGTTTTGAGGTTACCAAAAATAAATAAATGAAGACATTACTTTTGCTTGTTTACTTAATCAAGGGGGAGGGAACGAAACATAGAAGGAATGTCAAACAGCTTTTCCCACTGAGTGTTCCAAAAAGTGCTCTCTACGAATTAAACCTGGCAACCCAGGTGTGGACAGCTTTGGCTCTTTTTAGATCAATTATCTTCTGATTGCAACCTCAGTAATATCTCGTGACCGACTATGATGGCTAGGGCTGTTTGGAGGTGAAGAATATTTGGAAGGCATGGTAGCCCAGACTTTCTGGGGCAATACTTCTATGGTGCCTGCTTAAATGTGAATTTTGACCTTGGAGGAAGAGAGAATGAAATACTGTACTAAATAGCTCCAGGAAGAAAATGTGGCATCTGCGGGAGGACAACCTGGCCTAAGCCTTACTAAGCAGACAGCATGATTTTTGTGATTCTTTTTCAAAGAAATAGGAATCTCGCCTACAAGGCAGCTGTTTATATATTGCTCATGTTCTTTATGTGGTGAGTACATGATTTATCCCAGAGAGATAAAACAGGAAAATTCCACTCACTCCTCCATTTTTATCCCCTCTGCAATCCAGTAAGGTAACTCAAGCTGAGAGGTGCTGACTTGGTCCACCTAGTGAGATTCATAGTAAAGAGGAGATTTGAACTCAAGCCTTTCCAGTCCTAGTTTGGCACATAAATTGCTGCATCACACCGGTGGCTACACTTGGCGAGCAAAGAAATAATAAATGGAACCTTTTTGAACAGCGTTAAGGAAGAAGCTGGCAAAGCACAGCCTGGGATTGCAAAGGTTAACAAATCTCCACCGATCCTCTCTATTTCCATCAGAAATTATGGACTATGGGTACCGGAGGTCTGCAGGAATAGCAAATCACATTTTATCAAGGGAAAAGACAATAATGCTAGGAGAAGTTGAAGGCAGCAGGAAAAGAGGATGACCAAATATGAGAAAGATTGACTCAATAAATGAAGCCACAGTCTTAAGTTTGCAACGCTGAGTAGGGATGCTAAAGACACGATGTTGTGGAGATCACTCCTACACAGGACTGCCATAAATCAGAAGTCAGTTGATGGTACACTATCCTATATATTATACAGATGCAGCAAAGAATGGGGTCAGATTGTCATGAAATGTAGTCTTGCCACATTTCTGATGTAATTGTGATGCAACTGTGAGAAACGAGTCTAGGGACTCTGCCCAATTTATGATGGGCTTATGTCAGGAAATCTGCCTTGGGGGATTCTGGGAGTTGTAGTCGAAAAAGAAAGCAGTCTTTCCCAACTTTGGGAAAGTTGCCCCTCCCAGAACGCCTCGAAAAACCTCTGAGCTCCCGAAAAGGAGGGCGAGGTTACGCTCAGAAAGAACGTACACGCTGTTGCACGTCGGAATGCTAGCAGAAGACGTGTATCAAAGGAAAACCTAGCTCAGCTCGTGCTTCCACTAAGGGGGAGGGTTTAACCATCAGCTGACTTCCTGGCAGGGATCAGGTGATCCCTTTGGAGCCCTCCAGTGATTGGATAGAAAGAGAGTCAGCTGATTTGGGCTGGAGAGGTTGGGGAACAGATCACGGCGCCATGGTGAGTGCGACTCGCGAGGAGGGTTTTTTTGGGGTGGGGATGGGGGAGAAATCTTAAATTATGTAGCAGGAGCTTCTGAGCAAGCCCATGGAGGCTGGTGGAAAACAAGTGGAAAAGAAAGACTGAGAGGGAAAGAGCAATTTCTAAAGACTTGAAAAGCTGTCATAAAGAGACAGGGCAGCATCTTTTCTCCATCATCCCAGAATGCAAGGACACGCAACCATGGGCTCAAGTGACAGGAAGCCAGAAGAGCAGGAAAAACCTCATAACTATTAGAGCAGCGTGACAGTGGAACCAGTTACTTGGAGAAGGTGGTGAGCACTCCAAACCTGGGGGCGTTCAAGAAAAACCTAGATCCTCCCCGGGCGGCTCTGCTTGGATTCGGATTCCTGCCTTGAGCAGGGGGGGTTGGACTGGATGGCCTCCCAGGCCCCTCCCAGCTCTGTGATTCTATGAAAAAGGCAGAAAGAGTGCAAAGCGGAATTGCATTCACAGGACTTAAGGCTGCACCCCAGGGGTACAGCTGTACAGCAATGCATCTGAATTAAGGGCAGCCCCTTTCTCTCTGGGAACGTGCAGAGTGCTAATCCAAGCAAGCAGATTAGCAAAAGACCGTATTCTGAGTTTTTCAGCAAGACCTGGATTCTGCTGTGTGTGTGTATTTTTTTTTATGTGAGGCATCTGATGTGTATAATTTAAGTTCATTTCAAGCACTAGTGGAATAAATCGATGGCATTTAGTCGTGGACACTAACTGGGTTTTTCCCCTCTTCAGAGGTTCCGTTTCTGCGGTGACTTGGATTGCCCTGATTGGGTCCTGGCGGAAATCAGCACCTTGTCCAAAATAGTAAGCATTTCCAATATTAGCAGTTATTTCCCGTACTTTTATTTCTGTTATAATGCGTTGGCCATGGCCCCTTGCTAAATGATGACAATTTGCCCTGATTCATGTAGGGCTGGAGGAAGGCGCAGGCTTGCAAAATTTAATTTATGTTGTGCCTACGTTGTGTCATGCGTGGGGTTCCACCAGTTGGAGCCGAAGGCAGAAGATACGCACGTTGTGTGAAAAGGCAGCTCCATTTCAGCTCCAGAGATTTGTTCTGAGTGCTAGAACAGATCTGAGCTTGCCATTCACCGTAACAAATCCATTTGCTGTTATCTCAGGCGTTCAATTTATCTCATTGCTGTGATCAATAGTCCATAGCCATTCACTGTAACAAATCCATTTGCTTTTATCTCAGGAGTTCATTTTATCTCATTGCTGTGATCAATAGTCCATATATATACACATATGTAACCAAAGGGAACTGCAGTTTCTGATCCCTTAAAAAGAAGCGGAGTGGCATGAGGTCAATAGCTTTTTGAGACTCCTACACAGAGTTTTGTAGAAGCTGGTGTTGTGGGCAAAATATCATGGGTGTGTGTGTTCATGTTTTTATCATCATTCTAGTCCTCAGTGAAGCTGAAGCTGATCTGTGCCCAGGTTTTGAAGGATCTCCTTGGGGATGGAATCGATGTAAGTTAATTTTCTCTTATTTGATCCATGTTTGTATAGACCCGGTGATTTTGTTGCTCGGTTCATGGTGGTGTAAAGGATGAGGGGAATAATTTTTTTTGCCAAGAAACATATGTATATAGTTACCACTTATTTTCCATTTGGCTCTTTTATCTTAGCAGTACCTTGTGTTCAAATGGTAACCTGAATTTGAATGAGTCGGAACGATCAGAAGAGGCTGTTGTGATCAATATGTACAGTATAGGGTTATTAATATATAGTTTTCCAGATGTCAGATTGCAGTTCCCATTATACCTCACAATGCTGGCTAAACTGACGGGAGTTGTAGTTTAACATCTGGAGAATGTTCCGTATCCCTGATATAAGACAAGAGGACTTAAAAGGCAAATAAAAACCTCTGCTGATTAGTTGTAACCCTTTACATTTGGGTGTGTGTGTGTGTGTTATTTGAAAACCTCGGGCCATTTTTATTCTTGAGGTTTGGGCTTCTGCCCTCCTGTATTTCCTTTGTAACAACGTCGTTGTGAAGTGAGTCAGGTTGAGTGAAGGGGATTAACTCTCAGTTTATCTGTTAGCTGTTGCAACTAAATGGGTGTTTGAACTTATGTCCCCGTGGCCTTAGTCTTGCAGCCCAACTACATCAGTACAGGTGACTGTCTTAACTCCGTTTTCATATTATTATTATTGTTGTTGTTTCAACTTATGTACCGCCCCATAAGGCTAGAGCACTTTCTGGGTTTCCTAAGCTTTGGTATAAGACGAGCTGAACAGAAACGTGTGGGTGTGTTTTCTCCCCAGTATGAGAAGATCTTAAAGCTAACATCAGATGCCAAATTTGGTGAGTGTCCTTTCCTTCTGTAAATAATGGGTGGGGGAAAAGCACATGATGGCCCATGGGAGGGGAGGATTCAGAACCCTGGATCTCGGGGACACTACAAATCCCAGAATCCTCCAGCCTACATTAGCTGAACTAGCCTGTACGGGGTTGTTTGTTTGCATTAGCTGGATGTAGGATACCACGGTGGGCTCCAGTCACAACGGTGGTGTACGTTGCTTTTAATTTACATCCGCCCGGGTGTCCAGCCACCTTAGACCTTGCCATGCTGTTTCAGAGGCTTCTCTCCTTGGTTGTAAAGGCCTTTTCTCGTCAGCTGCTTTCCTGTCTTTCCCTGTTTTGCAGAGTCTGGAGACGTGAAGGCGACCATCGCTGTGCTCGGCTTCATCCTCTCCAGCGCCGCCAAGCACAACGTGGACTCCGAGTCGCTCTCCAGTGAATTGCAACAGCTGGGACTGCCGAAAGGTGAGCCGTGGAGGCCAGAAGGAAAAGATGGGAGGGGGGTTTGCTGATTCTTGGGGAGACTTTTCAGGTGGTCGAAGAAGCAGGCTGTTGAGGTCTTACAGAAAAGAGCAATGTGTTAGAATTACATAATTATTATTATAAATATATATAGTGTTGAAGCTGTAGCTGTCTTGCTTTGGGCACATCACGAGAAGGCATGATTCTCTGGTAGATGGGGAAGGCAGCAGGAAAAGAGGAAGGCCAAATACACGATGGAATGACTCCGTAAAGGAAGCCACTGGCTTGGATTTAAAAGAGCTGAGCAGGGCTGTTCAGGGCAGGACTTTTTGAAGATCACCCATTCATAGGGTTGCCATAAATTGTAGGCATGCTCTCACCTACCGAGTTGCGTGGCTTAGTGGGGAACTGTTACCTGGCTCCCCTTCCCTTCACTGACCTGTCTTCTAGCTAAGAAACCATACTGACCGTCCTAACAAGGCTGTTGTCATGTTAAGTATTATTAACTTGTTATTGTGGCTGTCGGCATTAAAGCTTTGTGATGGTCCCTATGGGGTATTTTCGCTTTGCGATGATCGCAGGGAAGCGATTGTCGCAAAGCCCCCATTTTCGGTCAGCTGATCGGCGGTTTCAAAATGGCCGCCAGGTAAACAAAATGGCTGCCCGCTGTTTTTAGGCACGGATTCCTCGCTTAAGAGGCACCAAAAATGGCGGCGCTATGGAGGATCTTTGCTCAGCGGTGAGTTTTAAGCCCATAGGAACGCATTAATCGCGTTTTCATGCGTTCCTATGGGATTTTTTATTTTGCTTAGCGATGTTTCCGTTTAGCAGCAATTTTTTGGAACGAATTAACATCGCTAAGCGAGGCACCACTGTGTAATCTTAACATTGTATTTTCTTTAATGCTTAGATGGTTTGAAGTGTCCAAAATTAAAGACAAGCACCATGACCTAAAATAAAGGATGGGCAACTTGTGGCCCTGTTGGACTGCATCTCTCATGATCCTTCAACCATGAAGATTTATGGGAGTTGTAGTTTGGGAGCCTATCAAGGACCACAGGTGGTCCATCCCTCATGTGAGTGATGCCAAAGGAACTAAGAACTTACAAGACAAGAATAGGGTAGAATAGGGCTGTCTCTGGCTGTGGGCTAGATTGTGAAATTCTGTTGTCAATTCGGGGGAAAAACATGCCGTTAAGAGAATATGTTTCTCCCCCTCCTTGCTTTGGGATGACAGAACATGCTACAGGATTGTGCCGGTCCTACGAGGAGAAGCAAATTCCTCTTCAAGAGAGCCTCAGGAGGTGCAGCTTGAGGTGTAAGTCAACTCTTTATACAGAAAACGGAATCAATTTTTTTTTAATTTTCTTTTTATTATCAGTATAATTTATAAAATCCATCCATGCTAATTTAACATCATGTCACTTGAGTACAGCTTATAATCATTTGTTAGTACAACTGTAATACACATTAAGCTCCTCATCTATATAACATCCTTCTAACCATTGATAGAATAAGTCCCATGTTTGATAATATTTTGTATCTTCCTTTCTTTTGATTTTCAGTGTCAGTCTATCCATTTCGGCGCAGTCCAATATCTTTTTAATTATTTCTTGATCTGTAGGTGTATCTTCATTTTCCAGTACTGTGCAAATATAATCCTCACGGCTGTTAAAATATGCAGTATTAAATATACATATGTATTTTGTTCCAAAAATTTTTAGAACATGGAATCTAAAGATCACTCAGTGGGGTTGCATTTTGCTGGACTCTTTCATATGGCAAGTCAGGGCTGTGAGGCCTGTACAGGCTGTCTTTAAAGCATTCTGTTTATAAGGCCAGCAAACCTAAACAGTGTCATCATCCTTTGGATGAAGCAACATTAGAAAGATCTGAAGGAAACAAATGTTTTTCTCGGTTCCATATTTTTTATTAAATCTTTTAGTGATACGTGTATCACTTTTATTTTTAGGCACAAATTTCATTTCTAATGCAAAATATTTCCTTTTAGTCTTGCTGGCCTGTTGCATGCTTCTTGCCACCCGTGTTTCTTCCATCGAATGTATTTGCACGTGTGATTTATTCCCTTAAAGTCATTGGCGTGTTCTGATGTGATGAGAGAGACAGAGAGAGAGAGGGGAGGGGATTTTAAATAAAGAGTTTTTCAAAATCCTGGTTCACCACCGTTGCATTAATTCGAATGATGCTCCATGCATTTAAGAAAGCATATTTCTAATCTCTTGGCTTTCTCGGCCTGCCAGTAAACAGCCTGGATTCTGTGTCCTGGAGAGTGGATTATACTCTTAGCTCCAGCCAGCTCCAGCGAGTCAATGAACCTGTAGTTCACCTGAAGTTAAATCTGAAGGATGTTGACCGAGGCAACCTGGAACCAATTGCCATGACTGTGTCAGCAGAGAAATTCCGTGTCTTGCTTGCAGGTGAGAAAATAGGAATAGCTATGCTTTTTGGTGGTGGTGGAAGAGCTAGAATTATTGTGTAAACTAACAACGAACAAGATAGAAATACAGGTGTCAGAATATGAAGATCAAGAGTTCAGGTGATGACTTTTTAAAAAGGATGATTAGTAAAGGGAAATCCAGAGGAATTTAATAGAAGACGTTGCACGGTTTGGAGGCAAGGGTCTGACAATGATTTTTATCACTCTAGCTCCATGTGCGATCTTACAAGGGGACAGAACATAGAAAGAGCCTCCCAGCTGATCGCAGAAACTGGGCCGTCCGTTAGAAGCAAATAACGTCTAAAGTAATCTGGACTGTGGGCCGTTTTACGTGGCTGGTGAAACTTTCCCTCTCTTTGTTTTTACGCTTTTCAGAGCTGAAGCAGGCTCACGCCATCATGAAGACTCTTGATTGAGGACCCTCCTGAGGTGGAAAGCATCGCTGCTGGACCGAGGAAATTCCCCACGAGACAAGGTGTCTCCCTTGGATGCCGTCTGTGCCCCAGAGAGTTCTTGGGCATAGCCGGTGCTTAACCTCATCCCTGCAGGACAGGAAAGCTGTGATAGAAGAGCCCAGCCCTCTTTTCCATATTGATGTGCCCCCCAAAGCATCTTCACTGTTCTCGATTTGGCGCTCAAGATGGGTCCACTTGAGCAGCAGAAGAGAGTGAGAGAATGGACGGTACCTTGTTAGAATGCAAAGAGAGGGGTGTGTGTGTATTTTTGTTAAACTGTCTCCATGCACTTGAAATAACGAACAGGGGATGGACTGTTGGTATAGAAAGGAGGGATTGGAAACTGTGGCTTCCCTCCCACCCTCTGCTTGCCGTCCATTCTACCACCTTGTTCTGCTGTATTTCAAGTTTTGGCAGGCCCCCCGTTTTCCTAGAAACCTGCTACAACTTTTTATTCCAGAACCCTCTTGGTCAGTGTGTCAATCTCTTTTCCCTCATTCTTAGAAGGCCGGGTTGCTTAAAGGATGAATGAATTAATGAGTCCATTCCTTTCTTCATTCTTCCTCCATTCCCTGCTTTGGTGATCATTCATGGAGTTCCAGCACCCCTCCCCTCACCAGCTGTCATGCACTGCTCCGTCTCTTCCCGTCGCACGACCCTCCAGCCCTGGCAGGAGCACGGACTTCCTTTCTCTGCCTCTTCCAGCAGCTGCCCACTCAGATGAGGAGGCGGGGCAGAGATTCCTGCAGCGCTGCTGGAGGAGGTGGAGAAGGGGGAGGAGTCTGTGCTCCTGCCAGGACTGGAAGATTGTGCGACACAGAGGGAACGATCAACATATGCTGGCTGGTGAGTGGGGGTGGAAAGCGAATGTGCAGCACCTCTGGTGCCGTGCCGACAACTTAGGGACAACTTGGCAGAAAGTGTTTCGTGCCCACCTCTAGTCAGGATCCCTTCTCTTTAGTTAGCAATGGCTCCCAGCTTGAGCACATGGCTTCTGGATCATAGAAACCCAGGAAAAAAGCCCAGTGCTTCTGTGGCACCTGCATAACATCCATCTGTACTTCGAGGCATCAAGTGGATTGCAGTTCCCCAGGTGTCGTAGGGAGTCTGTGTTTGTGCTCATGGTCCACCTCAAGGTTGATCCCAGAAATGACAATTTTTTGTTCTGGCTTGGAATAGGTGATCTCTATGTCATTCTCTCTGGGGAGTCTGTGATCCTCTGTCCCTTTCATGTTACAAACATCCCAGCAAAATCCCACTGAGTGCTTGTCTCCCCCCATTCTTGCAGGAGTGGGGAAACTTGGCTCTCCAAAAAGCCGTTGGACTGCATTCCCCATTGTCCCTGCCCAGTGTAGCTGTTAGTGAAGAATGATGGGAATTGTAGTCCAAAAACAGTTGGAATGCCATAAGTTGATGATCCCCCGCTTCTTAGCCCTTTCCTTAAGAAAAGAAGGGTGCTTGGTTCCTTTTACAAATGAACTACTTGTTGAGTTGTGGAAGGAACAACAAAATAGTTTTTCTACTTCCTTTGAGCCACATTTCTAAATATCTCAGCACCTTGGTAGCCTGGTTCTTAAAAAAACGAAGGTCGTTCTTCATATAATTTCTGTAATTTAAGGGATGCAGAGAACAAAATAAAATAAACCCACAGGATTGTGAAATTTGGGTGTTTTATTGTGCCCTGCTACAGACCTACTAGGAAGTAAAGACACAATAATTCAGCTGTTGAAGAATGGAGCTGCATTTGAAAACGTGCACACAGATTTCTTTAGCTTGAACCAGCTTCCAACTTAAGATGGCTAAATTTTAAGAAAACTTTAAAACCCTCCTCAAATTTCCACGAAACAGCTGTTACAGAAATGCAGAATTGACTGTTGGCCTCGTAATCTGCAAACTTGCAATAGAGGTGCCAGGATGAAGAAGGCCCCGTCATGTTTCAATCCCACCCCAGCCACAAAGCGGCAGGGAGGGAGGGAGGCAGGAGATGATAGAGCAGATCATCTGATGGAGGGGGAAATATTTTTAAACTTAAGGACCACACCCACCTTCGGGCAAGCTTTTGGATGGCCACCGTCCCAGATTTGCAGTTGGGGACAAAAGTCGGTAGGGCACACCGGGTGGATGCACAGGGGAAAGAGAAGAGAAGAATAGAAATGGGGCAGCTATTTGAACGGCCAGAAAGAACCAAGAGGGTCCTAGATCAATCAAGCCTGAAATATCTCTGGAGGCTACTTTGGGCACATCATGAGAAGGCATGATTCTCTGGCAAAATATAATGCCAGGAAAGGTGGAGGGCAGCAGGAAAAGAGGAGATGGATATGAGATGGATCGACTGCCTAAAGGAAGCCACAAAGTTGAGCTCACAAGAGCTGAGGTTGGTAGTTCAGGACAGGGCATTTTGGAGACGGCTCGTTCGCAAGGTCACTAAATCGGTGGCAATTTGACAGCACATAACAAATATATTAACATCCGATGAGCTGTTGGAACAGGAGAAGATATTGTAGGGAGGATTAAGGTTAGGGTTAGGGTCCTTTAATGATTAAAGCAAGGATGTGCAGGGTGTACAACCCCGCCTCCCCACAGCAGTTTTGGTGGGTCCTGAGGCCACCTCAAGCTCCCTTTTTTCTGGGAAAAATGATTTAATTTATTTATGACAACATTAGTAATCCACCCTGTATTGACAGGTTGATCTTAAAATCCTCCATGAGCTGTGATCCAGTTTTTAACTAGGGTGCAATCCTCCCCCTACCTATTTTACTGGCAAGCAAACCCTGTTGTGATGTGAAGTATTTGAGCTGTTTGGTTTTCTACAGGCATTTAAGAGCCATTGGCTGTACAAAAGACCCGCTTTTTCCTTGATTGAACCTTGGGTTCTGGACTTCCTTGGAGGGGGAGCTGGCTGATGGGCATGTCCTGAAAAGCATCTGCACTTCCTAATGATCTGCAACTGATAGCGGTCACTGCCCTTATTGAAGGCATCCCCCCCGCTCATGTACAGTAACTAACTAACTAACTAACTAACTAACTAACTAACTAACTAACTAACTAACTAACTAACTAGTTTGATTTATTCGGGGTGGTTTACAAGCTGCTCAAACCAGGCTCCACAAAACAATGAACACTGAATTGCAACCAAAATAACAAAAACATCAATCGCCAAAGACTTCAACCCTGGGAAAAGAAGAGGCGCTGCTCCTGAGAAACTACAACTCCCAAGAGGCTCTGCGGTGCCCGTCGCCCAATAGGAAGAGAGTGGATTCCCGGGACCCTGGAGGCGGGACGGAGGAGCAAGCAGGCATTTCTTGACCAAGAGGGACAGGCGGCTTTGAGTGTTTAGGAAGAGGGAGGTTGAGGGTGCTTGTTTGGCAGGTGTGCAAATGCAACACGCACACACACACGCAAAGAAGGGAAAGGAAGCAAGTTGGAGGTTTGGCCGGTGGGGTTGTTGCCGAGGTTGTGTAACTGCTGCTCCGGCGCTAGTTACAAAACAAGCCATTCCAGGATTATAAAACCAGACATTTGATCTCAGGTAGGTGAGATGAATCTCTCTCTCTCTCTCTCTCTCTCTCTCTCTCTCTGTATGTGTGTGTGTGTACACACGTACACGTGTACTTTGGTTTGGATTCAAACCTACTGTAAGACCAGCCCTCCCTACCCCAAGCCTGTTTTCCAGCCCTGAAAGAAATGTGGACAAGGGAACCTCTGAGCATATGCAGAGTGCATTCTCCTCCTCCTCCTCTCTCTCCTTTTACCTAGAAAGCCCCTCACGTCCCTGCCCCTTTCTTCTTCCACCTGAGCCTATCAAAGAATTTATTTCATTCCTATTCATAGGATTTCTCTGCCCAACCGTTTGCTGCTTAATGGTTTGAGGGCTGTGTAGGCAGCATCATCTCCCCTTCTACGTGTGTGTGTGTGTGTGTGTGTGTCTGTGTAGGCATCATCTCCCCTTCTATGTGTGTGTGTGTGTGTTTAATTAACTGGATTTTTTTGCTTGCTAATTTGTTTAAGGACTAAGTTTTAATTGGTGTTGGACTCCAGGTCCCATTAGCCCCAGGACTGTGGCCAGGGATGATGGAAGTTGGAGTCCCAATGTCTGATGGGTTTCAGGTTACTCCCCTCTGTTTATGAGTTTAAACAGGCCCATTTGTTTTCCTTTAGGAAATGACTGGAATGCTGTTTTTTGGTTCGCCCTCGCTGTTGCACTGCCTTCATCTTATTTTTATTTTATTTATTTATTTTTAGGATGCCAGAGGGTCCCGAGCTGTTCCTCACGAGCCAATATATCAACACAAAGTGTGGTGGGCTTGTCTTCTCCGGGAAGGTGGAGAAGTCGGAGGTGAGCAAGAATCCCGAAGTGCCCTTTGAGAGCGACGCGTACCGGATCTCGGCCGTGTCCCGGGGCAAAGAGCTGAAGCTCACCCTGGCGCCCATCAAACCCGAGAAGGTGCCTCCTTCGGAAGGGCCGGCGGGCGCTGTCCGGCGGCAGAAACGCCAACAGGAGGAGCCGATGGAGCTTGTCTTTCGTTTCGGCATGTCTGGCAGCTTCAAGGTGGTCCCGGTGGCCGAGATGCCGAAGCACGCTCACCTGCGCTTCTACACCCGCGAGCAGCCTCCCCGGGCCCTCTGCTACGTCGACTTCCGGCGCTTCGGCAGGTGGGAGGTGGACGGCACCTGGCAGCCCGAACGAGGGCCCTGCGTGATGACGGAGTATGAGAAGTTCAGGTAAGGGACCCCAAGGTTTGCACATCCACGGGCTTGTTGTGTTTCTGCCCCATTTTTCCCCGTGTGGCTCAGTGGGCCCCTCTCCTTCCTTCCTTCCTTCCTTCCTTCCTTCCTTCCTTCCTTCCTTCCTTCCTTCCTTCCTTCTTCCGACTCTTTACATCATTAGAAGACAGCATTTCAATCTAAAAACACTAAGTATACAAACAAACACACACACACACACACACACACACAAATCAGCAGAACCCCATGCTAAAAATGGTAAACAAAATCAATATTAAAAACGTGTTCAAAGCAATAAGGCACAAGAACCCATTTTTTAAAAAACCCAGGCAGCCATTCACTCAAGGAAAGCTTGCATGCAGGGAATGGTCTTTGCCTGCTTACAGAAGGACAGCAAAGATGGGGTCAGCCAGGCCTCCAGTGGGAGGGAGTTCCAGAGTCTTGAGAGCAGCCACGGAGAAGGCCCTCTGTCATGAGTACAATTGGGGTTGTCGTCTGAAGGTACTTAGCTTAAAAATGCTGTGTTGTTGACTTACTAGTAGGAATAAAAAAATAATAGGAAAGCAGAATATATGCAGATAGAGCTTAGAAAATGCTACATTTGGGAGTATAGGTCCCAGGATTCTGTAAATCGTACTCTGAAAAGTTTTTAAGCTTTGGATGGATTCTTGGATGAAGAATTCTGTGGGAGCTATCAACAGGTTATCTGGATTTGAACCCAGATCTTGCTAGTCTTAATTAGATATCCCAAAACGCCATCAAGTTGGATACGAGCGCTTTGGTAGAATTTTCCTCCGCCTCTCTGATTTTGATTCATGGGAGCTCTGACTTCTTCTGTATTTGATTTTCCCCTCTTCTAAAAATGTCTGATGTACTCCAGGGAGAATGTGCTCATGAATCTCCCCAATAAAGCTTTTGACAAACCGATCTGCGAAGCTCTGCTGAATCAGAAGTTTTTCAACGGTATTGGCAACTACCTCCGAGCGGAAATCTTATACCGGTGAGTGAGCTTGAGAGAGTAACTCAAAAAGTCTTGATCACAGAGGTATTCGTAGAAAGGATGCTTAGAGGCTACTGTCGGCACAGCCCGGAGCTTAGCATGCCCTTTCGGGTGAGGGATGAGAAAATCAAGGGGGCTGTGTTAGCTTTAATATTTTTTTTTTAACTGGATCAAGAGTTCTGGAGGTTCTGCATTCACATGCTCAGAGAGGCAAAGGGGTGGAGATGAAATGCACATGGAAATGAATCTCAGATCTTCTAGATATTCCTGTTTCCATGATACTTGTAAAATTGGACTTGAATACATTTGCAAATACAGTGGTGCCCTGCATAGCGAGCGCCCCGTTTAACAGTGAATCCGCATAGCAATGTGGATTTTGCCATTGCAAAAGCGATCGCATTGCAATGGTTTTAATGGCTAAAAATCACATTGTGAAACGCTTACCGGTTTTCGCATTGCGATGTTTAGAAAACAGCTGATCGGCGGTTCCAAAATGGCCGCTGGAAAAAATGGCCACCCGCAGCATTTTCGCGCCCTTTCCTCGCTTACCGGGCAGCGAAAATGGTGCTCGGATGGAGGATTTCCGTATAGTGGTGAGTTTTCCCCCCATAGGAATGCATTAAATGGGGTTTAATGCGTTCCTATGGTTTTTCGTTCCGGATAGTGACGATTCCGGATAGTGACGATTTTCCTGGAACGGATTATCGTCGCTATGCGGGGCACCACTGTAAAATGAAAACGCTCTGCACTATCAAAATTATTTTTGACTTGCGGTGATCTTAAGAATGGGTGACTTCCAGAATGTCCTGTCATTCACAGCCCTGCTCAACCCCTGTAAATTCAAGCCTACAGCTTCCTTTATCAAGCCATTGCATCTCATATTTAAGCCTTCCTCTTTTCCTGCTGCCTTCAGTTTTTCTGAGCATTAATTGTCTTTTCCAGCAAGTCTTGTCGTCTTATGAATGGCCTGAAGAATGATAGCTTCATTTCCATCCCTTTGTAAATGGCTAATAGATGCATGGTTAATTCATGATTGATTGCAAATAAAACCAGGGTGGATTGGATTTAAAACCCAGTCGATTTACATTGTGATTTAAATCACAATTTTAAAAGATCAGACTTTTTTTACCATTTAAATTTTTAAAAATCAAATTTTTTTTGGATTTTAATTGCAATTTAAATCAGTCCTAGATGGAGCGTTTTGGTTTTCGAAATGCACAACCTTGCAAGATGGTGAAATGCCACACATTGTTGGGGCAGTCTGTAAATGAAACCAGCCATCCAGCAAGCCAGCAAGCGAATACAACCTTTCTAAAGATTTGGTCGTTCTTCCTTCCCTCGCCCGTTTTGGATCTCTTCTAGGTTAAAAATCCCCCCCTTTGAAAAGGCACGGACGGTTCTGGAGCAGCTGCAGAGTCGAGAACAGGTGAGGGGAGAGGCCAGGAGAGGGCTTTTGAGATCCTACTCAAGGTTCCCTCTGCCTTCTCCAAGATCTGTGAAACCCAGAAATTTTATAGGCTTATAGGCAGGGATGGTAAATTCTTGTGATTTGTTGTTCACTCGTCACTCGGAATTGGTGATGCAAAGGTGACCCTCCTTTCAGTAGGAACCCCCCCCCTCTTAACTGCTTAGGGTTAATTCCAAGACCTCTCTTGCTGATGCTGAAAAAACACAGATGAGAGCAAATGCTATACATAGCATGGTCTCTGGCTCCTTCTCGTGGCCAGTTCTGGTAATTTCATCTTTAGAAATATATATTTCTAGGATTCTTTTTCTTTTAATATTTTACACTGTGGATAAGTGAATCAGTGGATACTGATCCCATGCTTAAGAGCGTCCTACTGTAATATTTTTTCCCAATTTTCAGGTGGAAAATCAGCTTGGATTTTAGAGTAGAAAAAAGATAAGAGAGAGGAAATGTGGACATCCTTATCCACTAGCCACAGTAACACAGAACAGTACCTTATATTGACTCAAACCCTTGACCTGTGCAGCTCAATATTGTCAGCTCTGACTGACAGCTGCCATCCTCCAGAACTTCTGGAAGGACTCTGTCCTGCCTGGAGAGCCTTGATACCTCCTGATAAGTCTTCCGTCCTAACCCATCGGAACCCTGCTTTTCCTCAGAAATAAGTGGTTCCATCCTTTCTCTGATCTCAATGCCGATGATGGAGGCTGTATCGTTCCTTCCCGGTCCGTTGGCAAAGACAGGGAAACAGGTCATGAGGAATGAGAGAGGTGTCTTCAAGAGGGCGCGGTCTCGCCCGGGGTGGAATTTTTGCTCCCCTCCGGCTCCTGTACGAGTTCTCAACTCCCAAGGTCGAGGTGAAGGCCCTCGTCTTCCATGTCTGCCATCCCAAATTCAGGCCCTAAAAGTGCCATTTTTTTCATGAACAACTCAATAAAGCAAACCAGGTGCAAGAAAGGCGTATCCCTAGGCAGTAAAGCGGGTAGCCAGGAAGACGCTGGAGTGAAAACATGACGATCAAAGATGGCTCGTTGGGTTAGTCGCCTGGAGGTCAGACTTTGACCCATGGGTCAAAAGGGGATGCTCTTCAGCATCCATTGTTGTTCTCTGCCATTGAGTTATTTCCAACCTGTGGGAACCCTAAGAGGGTTTTCAAGATACGTGAGAGGTTCACGTATCTTTGCCATCTCCTGGTGAGTTTGTACGGCCAACCTAGAATTTGAACCCAGGCCTCCTGGGTCCTCCTAGTTCAACCTTTTCCACCCACTATCCCATACTAGCCAATCAGCACACACCAATGATCCATGGATAGATGGGTTGGTTTTATGGGAAGAGTCTGGTTTGGGAAAATTGGGGTGCACTTGACAGCCCCTTGGCCCCCACCCTCGGTCTCCACCTTGCAGACCTCCGGCCTGACGCTGAGCAAGAAGGTGAAACTGAAGCGGGAGACCCCGGACCTGCTGGAACTTTGTCACTTGGTGCCCATGGAGGTCATCAAACTGGGTAAGGACCAGATCTGTCGCCAAGACGGTCTCACAACAGTGGCTACGCAAGTGTGTGTGAATTCCCAGGGAATAACTGGGAGCCACAAGATAGGGCAGAAGGCAGAAGCGCTCCCAAAAGAATCACCCCTTATGAGCCTGCCTGGGTGCTAAGATCATCAGGAGAGGCTTTTCTCTCGATCCTGCCACCCTTAACAAGTGCATTGGGTAAGGACATGGGAGAGGGCCTTCTCTGTGGCTGCTCCCAGACGGTGGAACTCCCTCCCACTGGAGACCAGTTCTGTCTTTCTGCAAGCAGGTGAAGACTTTTCAGGCAAGCTTTCCCTTTCTGTTTATTGTTTAGAAGCCAACAAATGAGATGGTTGATACTTTGTTGCTTCTAAATCTTTTTTGTAATGCGTTTACCTAATATTTTTAATATGTTATTAATTTTTCTTTAATATTTGAATAATTTACTGTTGTTAGCTTTTAATATTGTGTTCTGAATGGTGTAAGTTGCCTTGGGTCAGTTTTTTTGGAGAAAGGTGGGGTAAAAATATTTTAAATGAATAAATAAAGGAAAACCCAACATGATAAAGTGATCGCACATGGAATGAATTCTCAGTAATTAAAACTAGCACCGCCTTGCCTTTTTATTTCAAAAAGAGCAAATGGCATTTCAAAACTTTGTTGTGGGCTTGCCAGAGACATCTTTCCCGTGGAAATGGAAGATTCTTGCATTTGAAGTTCCTAGTCCGAATGGTTATGGAGATAACCGTGAAATAATGTGGTGAATGGCTTAAAAGGTTTAAGAATCACAGACTTTAAATCTGAACTGTTCTAACCGGCAATTAAATTCCCCTGAATTTGGGACTGTTTTTTTGTAAATACATACAGGATTGCACGTCTTTTCGTGTCTGCCATTGTCTTTGTCTTATTTCCTCTCTGTCAGGTGGCAAAGGTTATGACCCAGACAACTCAGAGGATTCCACCGCCTTCGAAAAGTGGCTTCAGTGCTATTTTGTTGAAGGGATGAAGTCTCTCCGTGACGCGAACGGCAGGACCATCTGGTTCCAGGTAGGACATGAGATGGAAAACAATACCATCGGTTTCTCAGCCACATGGGCACCATGATGAGCCATCATCTCTTCCTCCACGGCTGTAGAACAAGAGTGGGTGAATGGTTTTTCACCCGAGATCCAGAGATGTTGGCATATCCCTGGGTCCAAGTCCAAGTCCCTATTAAACACAAGCATTTTCCCCCCAGAAAAAAAAAATTGAAGGGGTGAGTGATTTCTGAGTCATTGAAAAAAATAAATAACCCAAGTCAAGTTATTGGTGCGACTTAAGTCTGACTTGACGGTGAGTGCCGTGCCTCGTGTCTCCATCCTAAGCAAGATCTGTGTTTTCAGGCTAGGAAGCTAGGTTCCAACCATGGGTGGGGCTAAGGAGACAGGGCGGAGCCAAAGCAAAGTAGGCGGAGCACAACTCCTTTCTTACCAGTTTGGAGAGTTTCCCATCATCAAAGCATTACTGTTCAAGTCTGAGCAGCCGTTTCCTGGGTTACAGAAAAATGACAGCCTCTTGCATGGCTTAAGTTCAAGGTGGGTCTCTTTTTCTCATTTGGGGCCTGATTACCGTCTCGCTTATTTCCTTTCCGCGCAGGGAGATCCTGGTCCGATGGCCCCAAAAGGTGAGCATCTTCTTTTACATCCTTCTTTCTCAGCATTTGGCTGGGCCAAGAAGGAGCCTCGAGAGAGAGCATTCTGTTTCAATGATTAGCGCACCCGAACAGGCAGGGTGCATTCGAAGGGAGCAGAGTAATTTAGATCCTTCCTCCTGGTAAAGATCTTCAGCTAACGTTTCCTACTTCTTCGACTGGGAGACTTGATGTTGCTCCTTAAAGCTCGTTGGCTGCTGCAGGGAAGTCCATTGGCCTTCATAGGTCACCCTAGTTTGGCAAAGAGAGGTTCAGATTTCCAAAGCAGCTGGCGGGTATTGGGGGTGTAGGTGGGTTGCTCCATAACTGCACTGAGGATCGTAGGAAAAACATTTCCTTTGAATGGGGAAGGCCATAGGTTCAACCCTCTGGATCTCCAAGTGAATGGATCAAGGAGGATCTGATGTGGAAGATCTCTGCCTTGATGTAAGAGAGTGAAAGCCAACCGCAATAGCAACTACAGGCCTATATGGACAAAATGTTGTAAGGCAGAGTCTTAGCTTTTCCTGGCATTGATCTGATCAGTCCTTCTCAAGCTTACCGAGTAGAAAATAGGGGAGGGTGACCTTAACATGTTATGGAACTCCTAGCTCCCATCAGTTTTAGGCCATGGTTGGGGATCATGGGATTTGCAATCCAACATTTTGAGGGCCACTACTTGCCTACCTGTGTCTTCCATTTGAGAAACGGGGAGCACATTTACATCTACTGTTAGATCTCTGCCATAGATTGGCAAACTTGCCATTTGTTTTATAATAGGTGCAATAAAACCATCTTTTCCTTACCCCTGCTGTAAAAATTATATTGCTGAAATGAAAAAAAGCTCGAGGCTACTAGTATTCACTTCTTAATTCAATTTCATTTTATTTCTATATAACCCCATTAGTGTAATGCATTATTCTGCATAGTGAATAATCTAAAAGCCAGAAAAAGGCAGACAATAAATCTAACAGTGGAGGTAAATAAAGGTAAGATAAACATGTCAAGTTAGAAAGTAAGGTGACATATCGCTTCATAAAAGAACCGCAGGGGAGTGGGAAAGGATCATCATATGAGTTTGCTGTCAAACAGATCTCTAAAGAGCCCCATTTTCAGCAGCCTCTTAAGGGGAGGGGCAAACGCAGCTCAACCGGGAGTTGATGCCAGAGGACAGGGGCCATCACCCCAAAAGGCCTTGTTTCTGGTTGATGTTTTCTTGGTCTCCTTTGGTGTGACCACCCAGAGGAGCATTGCCTGAGCGGATCTGGTCGTGCGGGTGGATGATCTTAGGGAAAGGCACTCCGCCAAGTAACAGGGTCCCAAACCAGGGAGGGCTTTATATGCGAGCACCAAGATTGCGGTGCTCACATATAAAGGATTGTGATCCCCATTCATTTTCTGTAACTCCGAACAGGTTTGTGGACTCAAAATGGTTTAATTCTAACTAATTTTGTACAAGGTTTTCATGGGTGCGTCCTGGAATTTTAGTTAAAAAACAAAACAAAAACTAAAGTCTGCCCACTCCTGATTTGAAATATACTGGCAATATTTGAAAGTCAATTGGAACTGAATTCTTTTTCCTCGACAGGGGAGAAATCACGCAAGAAGCGGGTACAGGTGAAAACTGAACCAGACATGCTGAGTCCAAAGGTAAGGGAACATCTGGTAAAATGCACAATGTCTAACTTCTTGGGAATAGTTTCCAGATGTCACAGAGTATCTAAAATGCTGAGCCTGCAAGTTAAGGTTTGGTGACAGTCCTTGTTGTCGTTTCAGTTATATATTTATATCCAGATTTTTAAAAAATCCAAAATGAAAAGCAAATATGTTTTGACATCTTAAAAACTAGTTTAGCAACCATTTGGAGGACTACTAAAACAATGTTTGCTCTAATCCACATTTTTCAGTATCCGCGGCGGACCTGAAACTGATCCATTTGTGGATATGGGCATCCTACTGTATTTTAAACACTTGGCAACGCACGCGATTTGAGAAGGCTACTCTACGTAGAGAGGCAGTGTGGAATTTTATTTTTTAAGTACACGCAAGTGGACAACTTTTAGCCCGCTTTATTGCAGGATGTTGGCTCTGAATTATGGGCAAGCATGCTAAAGGACAAGAAGTTGGGGGAAAAAGTAGAGTGGATGAATATTTGATGTGATCTTCTTTCCTGATCTTTGCGTTCTGAAGCTCTAGGGATAAAATGGAGCTTGTCTTTGATCCCGTGTTCCTGCCCCATCTCTCTAGGTCAAAAGGCTGGTGGCCAGGAGAAATTCCAGGGCTAACGTTCCTCCGAAAGGCGTGGAAGAAACAAGGAAGCCTAGAAGGCGTCGGGGCAGCAACACAATAAAAGAAACAGAGGGTGGCACTCCAGTAAATGGTGTCAAGACCCCAAAGAGCAGGGCTAAGAGAAAGATCTCTCCTCCCCAGGAACCTGCAGTGAAATCAGGTTCTCCTGCTGAAACCCAGAAAAGGCCAACGTCTGCCAGGAAAAAAGGGGGTAAGGGAGAAAAGACTTGGATTCAGTGTTGCTGAGATTGCAGACTCTGTTCAAGTACTTTGAAAACAGCTCACTGTTATTTCTCTTCCATTTTAGTTAAAGCTGCTGCAGCTGCACGATCCAGGCGGGTGAAGCCTCAGTAACCAGGCTGCTGCAGAACGGCCTGCTCATTGTGCCGTATCTTGGCCTGGTCTTCGCCGAGACAGACCGATCCTCCCAATGTTGCTAACACAAATTTTATAGCCAGCTTCTGCCTCCCAGCACCCTGCAAAAACTAAGCTGTAAGACTGATTCTGGCTTGGCCTGGGCTTTTTCAGCTTCGGAAATCCTGGACACCAGCAGAGAATGGAGGAGTGGCTGTCAGTTGCCTTGAACGTGAATTATTTTTCTGAAATTCTGCTGGGGGTCAGGCTGCGCTCTCCGTGGTGGTGGTGGTGTGCTTTGCACATGAAAGAGGAGAATAACTTTTTGCCAGTTACCTTGGTGGTTATGTTAAGAGACAACACCCCTGATCTCCAAAATGCAGGCAGAGCGTGGTCCATGCAACCTCAGCTGGCCTGGTGGAATTGGACTCATTGGTCATAGACCCAGCGCTTGGGAAAACTGGACTAGAATGCTCACAATTAGAGATTGTCACAAGTTGTCTGCGTGGCCACATTCCTTTCCCCCACCCCCACCTCTCGCTGGCACCTCCACTCCCTAGCCAGCACACTGTGTTCCATCCGTGCCCATTGCACAATCTTCCAGTCTGGACAGGAGCCCAGACTTCCCTTCTCTGCCTCCTCCAGCAGCCGGCCACTCCAATGAGGAGGCAGGGCAGGGATTCCTGCAGTGCTGCTTTTGAGTGGTCAGCTGCTTGAGGAGGTGGAGCAGAGAAGTCTCGGCTCCTGCCCAGACTAGAAGATTGCATGACGGATGGGGAGGGATGGAGCAAGGCACGCGGGCTAGTGAGTGGAGGTACTGGCAAGGGCTGGGGCTGGGGAAGGAATGCATGGCAGCTGTGCTGCTGCACACATGACTTATGACTTAGCTACTCAGAATTCCCTATCTGGCCAGGCCTGTGGCTTAAGAATTCTGGAGATTGTGCCCAAAGCACGAATATTTTCAGGTTCTGCAGATGCAAAGAGTTAGCTACTCAGAATTCCCTAGCTGGCCAGGCCTGTGGCTTAAGAATTCTGAAAATTGTGCCCAAAGCACTATGTCCAAAGCATGAATATTTTCAGGTTCTGCAGATGCAAAGAATAGCACAAGTTGGTGGCATGACATTGAACCTGTCTATTTCTCAAAGAACGACTTGGACTTTATTCACTGCGTTCTTTACATGAACTCAAGCATAGCCCTCTTTATTTTAAAACTGCAGCTGTGCTACTGCCTTTGGAAGAACAGGAACATCAAACCAGAATAGGTATCATGCATGTATTTGTATTTAAAGTACAGAGGGGCTTTTTTAGAAATGCAAATAGCATCTCCGAGACTGTTACAAGTAACATTGGAACAGGCAGGGAGAACCAGACAGACCACTGAAGTTGAAACTTTGCCAAAGACGATTTCCCGGTTGATTATGACGGCTATACCTCTGCTCAGAAATGAGTGGGGGGATTTGATCCATCGCTTAATCACCCAGACTTGGAAACAAGGGCATGCTTTACACTTTTATTCAATCAAATGTTTCGTACCTGTAGTGATAGCGCTTTCTCTCTGGTGTATCTTTGAGAACTGCTCTTTTTATTCTAATAAAATCTATTTTTAATCAAATGATCCTGCTTCAAGATGTCCTCCTGTCATTTCAAAATAGGCAGAGGCCTGAAGGTAGCACTGCTTCTAAACTGCATGTATGATTGCCAGCTTCTGAATCTTCTCAAAGCCCAGCTGTTTCTCGCACCCAGTGCTCCTGGAACCCCAATCAGGCCCCCTGGATTTCCCCACACATGGCCATGGCACCTTCCCCATGCCACCATTGTTTGTACAGCTTCCCTGCCCCCAAATTTTGAAAATTTTAAATTACTCTTCTGCTAAGTCCTGATTTCTGGCAGTAGGAACTTGGGATAGTTGTCTTAGTGGTCTGATCTTCTCCCTTTTGGGGCTCCTACCCTCTATGAAATTGGATTCATCAACCTGCTAAAGTAGGTTTCCCTTCCGATGACCTCTTAGATCCTGAGCCCCTTTTAAAAAGAGTGAGCACAAGATAAACCAGAGTAAACCAATATAGATCGCTGGATGGTGAGCAGAGGTTGGCAAGGGTGTCTGACTTCACACTATCTATTTACTCAAATAGGTAAGTCATCCCCATCTGGCGATCAGAGGAATGTAGCAGGGGATCAGCTCAACTTCACTTGATGCCATCCTCTTTCACATGCATATGGTGGATGGGCTTCTATCTCTTAATTCAGTGGATATCCTAATTTATTCGCAAAGGCTTTCACGGCCGGGATCTAATGGTTGTTGTGGGTTTTTCGGGCTCTTTGGCCGTGTTCTGAAGATTGTTCTTCCTAACGTTTCACCAGTCTCTGTGGCTGGCATCTTCAGAGGACAGCAACCTGTGCTCTGGTGTACAGTAGTGTGGGGAAATATCCCCACACAGTAGTTGGCTGGGAGTGGAATATTTATGGCTGTGAGATAGGCTTTTGTCTTTTTCTGGAGATGGGTGATCAGTATGTCGTCTTATGGGTGTATTGTTGTGCTAAGGAGAAGAGATTATCTGTCACTGTGGTTAATGGGTGTCGTTAGCTGGTCTTTTGTGTGTAGTGATCCCCTGTCCTTGTGGCTGGGTAGAGTTCTTTGGCCTTTTGCACACTGTATTTTTGAGAGCTGGGAGCCAAGTTTTGTTGAGTTTCAAACTTTGCTCTTTTTTGTTGAAGTTCTGCTGGTGCTTGTAGATTTCAATGGCTTCCCTGTGCAGTCTGACGTAATGACTGCTGGTGTTGTCCAGTATTTCAGTGATTTGAAATAGAATTTCATGTCCAGTTTTTTTTTAGGGCATGTTCAGCTACTGCAGGTTTTTCTGGTTGTTTTAGTCTGCAGCGTCTCTCATGTTCTTTGATTCTGATGTGGATGCTGCGTTTTGTGGTTCCAATATATACCTGTCCACAACTGCAAGGTATCTGGTATACTCCTGTAGTGGTGAGGGGGGTCCCTTCTGTCCTTTGCTGACCGTAACATTTGTTGTATTTTTGTGGTGGGCCAAAGAGCCCGAAAAACCCACAACAACCAACGATTTCCTAATTGTTAGCCCTGGAGATATTTTGGAGGCCCAGCTCCTGGCATCCCAGGACATCAATCAAGCTGCCTTCAGCTTCCAAGAGTTGGAAGTCCAAAATTTCTGGAAGATGAAGATTTAAGAAGCAGGATAGATGCTACAACCCCAAAGCCTATCCCCTTGCCTTTATGGGTAACCAAAGACTGAACCCAAAGAGATGGTCAAGGAGTGCTCATCAAAGCACCAACTTCTAATCTGGCTAGTTCAGCTTCTCTCTCCTCGTTTCAAGACCAGCAGGACAGATTGCACTTGGAAAGGCGTAAAGGAAAGCTTCAAGCCGCGCTCCTCCAAGGGCAGGCGATGGTTAGGGGTGGGCCGTTCCAGAAGGTCACACCTGAGAAATAAGGAAGGTGCAATGAGGAGGAGCCCCCTGCCCAAGCCCCTCTCCCTTGTGGCCATCTCTCCCTCCAACTCGACGCGGCACTTACATGGCTGCCTCTTGGACTGGGAGGCTCGTTTGAAGCCAGGTGGTGACGGTGCTGCCATGCGACTCATAGAGCCTCACAATCAGAGCATCATTTCTGTCCTCCGCCTAGAAGGAAAGACAGATAGGTTTTATTTTATTTATTTATTGGATTTATATCCCACCTAACTGGTCTTGCGACCACTCTAGGCGGCTTCCAAATATAGCATAATACAGCAAATAAAAATAAAAAATTATTACATAAATAACTTCATAACAATTTACAAAACAAAGCAAAATAAAGTAAGTATGAATAGAGAAAAATAAAAGAAAGAAAAAAGATCAGGTTTCCTTGACTCGGTACAATATTTCTAGTCCTATATAAGCTAATGGCATTTATGCCCCTGCCCCCAGCTTGTGACACTGTGTACCTACGAGCACTAACTTTTCAAAGGGGAAAAGCATAAAATCTCAGGAGGGTGGCGAACAAGTCTGTTTTAGGAATGCTTTTACCTAATGGTTTTCATATGTTTACTTCTTTTTTGATATCTGAATACAGTAGGATCCCTGTATATTGCAGCCGCATCTGTGGTTTCACTTATCTGCAGTGTGAAAATGTTAAAAAATATTAAAAGAATAAAACCTAGAAATATGTATTTTCATGACGTATTTACCAGAACTGGCCACTAGAGGGGGCCAGAGTCTATGTTATGTATTTGTGCTGTTGAAGACTACATTGCATGGTCCCTGGCTTCCCCTAGTGACCAGTTCTGGTAATACATGGTAAAAATACTTTTTTTCTGGTTTTCTTCCTTTTACATAGTTTGCTATTATCTGTGGTTTTCAGCATCACATTAATAATGTGTTTTTAATGATCTAAGCTGCCTTCAGTCCCTTTCTGGGAGAAAGGTGAAGTAAACATACTTTAAATAAGATAAAAAACCAATTAAAAACATGGCTGTTTATTCAGGCCTTCCCTCCAGCCAACTCTTGATTTTTTTCTTACTTTTCCTTTTTATTTTTACTGCTGTTCTTGTTTGATTATTATGTATTTGTCTATGTTTTATTATTTGATTTTATATTTGGAAGCCGCCTAGAGTGGTCCGGTGGGCCAGATAGGCGGGGTATAAATTAAATAAAAATAAATAAATAAGATAAATAATAAAATCATGCACATGCTGGAACTGGAGACCCTCGGACGGCATCCAGCCGTTCTGACGGCCTCATGTTAATATCCATTCATTTTATTCCCTCGGGCTCCTTACCTGCTTTATCGTTTCCAGAACGACCGCAGGGGATTCCACACGGAAGGCGCTCCAAGCTTGATACTGGCCTGAGACCCCTGGCACGGTGTGGAGCGGGAAGTTCAAATTATAGGCCTGATGGATGACCCCGGCCTCCTGGAAAGAACCTGTTTCCAAAAAAAAAAAAGACAGAATGAACAGCAAGACAGCATGAGCAGCGCTGGGACCCCCAGGAGTGAACATAGCCTAGTGATGGATGCGAATACTTGATGGCTTCATAGTGTCATGAGTGTTTCCGAAGACCTGGACCCAGAAGGGTTAACTGTGGCTGAAGAGAATGTGGAGAGATCAGAAACACCTGAACCGCCTCCAGATTCTCCCTCCACAGCAGACAGGCTTCGGGGCAGGCGTCGGGAAAGACTTAGGACAAGAAGATCAGAGGATCGCTCAAAGGCTTTCCACCTACGTTCACCTAGTCCTGAGTACTAGCAGAATAGAAAGCTTTCCAGCAGCTCAAGGAGCTGTTTCAGTATAAAACAAGCTTCCAGTGAAGCCAGAAACTTTGTGGAAGCAAAGAGTCAAAACCTTGGCTTGCATCCACGCTTCTTGCATCTGGTTCCTGTCTCTGAACCCCGGACTTTGACCCTGGACTGCGCTGGTATTGGACTCTGGACTTTGGCCCTGGACTACCCTAGTATTGGACTCTGGACTCTGACCCTGAACTACACTGTGTATTGGACCCTGGACTTTGACATTGGACTTCATTCTGTAAGTTGGTTTCTGGACTTTGGCTTTGCATTCTTGATATCTCTGACCCTGGACTGGTTTATCGGACTTCGGCTGTTGTAACCCCCGGGAACGTGACACATAGCAAGTCAGGCTATAATATGCTCGAGCAGAGATTAAGCCAGTCTTTAAAAATCACATTTGGCACCTAATATAAGTGCATATAAACAGAAAAGCATAAAACCATTGGACAAGCTTCAAGTTGCAAGATCAACTTGGAGAATTGGCGAAGCAGGCAAATGAGTTCAGTCTTTCCGCGGCTCGTTTAATATTTTATTTTATTGGACTTAATGAATTTAGCGGTCCCATAGGAGATCTCGGAGTCTGGGCCAGCTAGCAGGACTAAAACTCTACAGAAAGGGGGATTGCTCTTAATCCTGGTTGGTTAAAGTTTTAAGATTTTGATCCCTCAAATTGCATACAGAGGACATTCTGTTGGAAAGTGGACCATATACTCCATTTAGTATCTGGCTGCAGAGGTTGGGGGTTTGATTCCCTGCGTACAGAGGACATTCTGTTGGAAACTGGACCATATCCTCCAATGAGTATTTGGCTGCAGAGTTAGAGGTTGGGGGTTTGATTCCCCACTGAGCCTCCTTGACAGGGGCTGGACTAGATGATCTGTAGGGTCCCTTCCAACTCTGCAGTTCTAAGATGATGGTGTTTTTACAGCATCCTGCTGGGCAATGTCTGCCTGTACTATGTGAACGTCCCTGAATCTTTTTCAACTGTAACTAGTTCAATGGGCCTTTAGTTTAACAATGGTCTCGGCTCGTGTGAGCTAATTATAGACCTATACGGGGGCATCTTTCCAAAAGGCAAGGAAAAAGCCTTTTGTGTTAGTTGCAGGTTTTTCAGGCTGTTCGGCCATGTTCTGGAGGTTTTTCTTCCCAATGTTTCCCCAGTCTCTGTGGCTGGGGTCATCAGCGGGAATAGAACACAGACAGAGCTCCTGTTCTCTGAAGATGCCGGCCACAAAGACAGGCAAAACATTGGGAAGAAAAACCTCCAGAACACGGCCCAACAGCCCAAAGAAACTACAACCACCATCGGATCCTGGCCATGAAAGCCTTCGAGAAAACCCTTTGTATCTCTTATGGGAGCAGCAACAGGCTTCAGATGCCATGGTAGCCTGGATGTCAATATCATATACTCTTCCAACGATACCTTCTTGGGCAGCCCTGTATCCCCTCCTATCGAGGTAGGCTGGGGAGTCGCTCAGCTTGGGGCTCACTCTGGATCTCTCAGCTCCCCCCTCCAGAGTCCCTTCCCGTTTCTTCGCAGGCCAATGAGGCCAGCGGTAAGTCCGTATCATTCACAATCTCGAGCTCGGCTGCTTTCCGAGCAAGAGTACCCACGCAGCAGCAGCAGCATGATGTCTCATAGCAGACTGTGGCCATGGGGGTAGATCTCGGTTCAAAACTTCGGACAGATTCCTGTATTGTAATGTTTGAAAAAGCCCACCTTGCCCCGCAGAGCGTAAAAAGGAAGCAGCTGGTTTTTATGCAACTGTATTAGCAGCGGCACCACCATGTCCCCACCTGGTCCGGAAGAGAAACCATAAATAGCCTTGGCTTTGCGATGAGTAGAGGGGGTGATCTTCTGCCCACCCTATGTGGGCAGGGCTGTTTGACCACCTGGAGAGGCTTGGCGCACCCCTCTGCCAGATTCCCCGGTTGGCTTACCTGCGTGAGGCATCAGTGCATAGGTGAACTGGTGGCGGCCGATATCGGCAGTGGCATCAGGTGACTTTGGTGCTCTTAACCTGCATAGAGAGGGAAGGACCGATAGGAGCAGAGCCATTTATCCAACCCTGCTGACGGACCACCTCCCTGACAGTTTGTCCCTCACCTGTCGCCCCCCAGCACCCACTTCAGTCGGTTGCCGCAGGGGGGAGATGAAGTCAAGAGAACAGTTTTCCTCTTCCCTCCCCCTCCTTCCTTCCTCTCATGTCATGCCTTTTTAGATTGTAAGCCCATAGGCTCAGATAGTATTTTACTACAAGTTGCTTGGGAATATGTTTTTTAGCAGAGAATCAGGTAAGAATGCTATTAACAAACAAATATGATGAAGTCATCTATACAATCTACCCTTATCATTAATGCCAAATATACCAAATGATTATCCCTATAGCCAGTGGTTTTTGCCAGAGCGGGCTTTCTTAACTGCGTTCCTTAGATTAAGGCAAATTGTAGATCAACACAGTAACTGGCATGTGTCGTTTCTGTTCAGCAGTGCAAAAAAGACACACTCGCACCATCCCTCCAGAACTCACAGGGAGAGGCTCATCACGTTGCCACGGATGGAGCAGCCGTATTTGCAGTCGTTCAGCAGGGCCACACCAAAGCCATGCTCGGACAAGTCCATCCATTTGTGGCTCCAGACCTCAAGAAAGAAGAAGCACAGCAAGGGTGGCTCAGGGACCGTCCTCGACACACCACAGACCCAAGGGACCTGGGGGTTCGCTGGGTAGGACGATTTCCCATCGTCCTGCAGGACGCCCAGCCCTGCTGGCTTCCCCAGAGGCTCAGCCGGTCCACGGTCCCTAAAAGGTTGGGGAGTGCTGCTTTAAGGCAAAATATGTTTCTACCTTTGGCCCCACCCTTTTGCCTTTGGCCACACCCACCTCTAGAAGGGAACACAGAGAGAGAGAGAGCGCTTCTCTGAAACGGAATTAATTATTCCTCGGACTGAAAAAGGTGCTCTACTTTTCAGGTAAAGGACAAGAAAGGCTGACGAGCACTGGGATTTCTCGAAAACGGGCAGTTCTTAGACTTAGCAAACGGTCTGGGAAATCGACCAGAGGCATCCATTTCACGCTTTGCACACCCCAGGTCAAAGCGGCAGGCAGAGCCTCACCTCGAACCGGGCCCAGTCCCAGGAGGTGTTCTCATGGGTCGGTCTTTGCAGGTGCCCAAACTGTATCTCGTACGTCGCGTTCCGGCTGCGAACCTTGACCGGAAACTCCACCTTGAGGAACTTGTGAGCTTCGTTCCACTCAACCTGCAAACAACAAGATACACCTATGCCGGGGAGGAAAAGGAAAACTCGAGGACAGTAGGATCCCCATTATCCACGGGGGATCGGTGCAGGGTCATCCCCCCCCCCCGCGGATGCTGAAAAATGTGGAATATAGTGAACGCTATACAGCATGGTCTCTGGCTCCCTCTAGTGACCAGTTCATCTTTAGAAATATATATTTTGGGGATTTTTCTTTTAATATTTTTAATATGTTCAGACCGTGGATGTGAATCAGCAAAGGCTGATCCTGCAAATAGGGGGTCCTATAGGACTGTTACACTGTCCTCTTCATTTTTTTAAAAAAAGGAATCCATATTTATTCAGTGCTTTCCGTACCATGGCAATTTCTGGACTTCTCTCCCATGATAAGAACTTTCTAACTCAGAATTAGTTGCTGGGTTGGTTTGTTTTCCCCCCAGCCCCACCACCTTTTCCATCTTTTAGCCCGGACGTGCTTCCAAATCAACGGGTGGCCATGAAAACATTCTAAGGAAGGAATGACAAACACGTTTTTGCTCTTGCTTTTTAGTTTCAATTAAAATTGGAAAAGAAGAACTGTGAAGCCGGAGAATAGGGAACATCTTGGTTGTCATTACCGAGGTTCGCAAACTGGTCGTTTCCAGCTTGAAATTAATTCATTAGAAGGCAGGTTTATGCACATCTGTGCAGGTATGTGTTTATAGACAAACAATAGCAAAATTCAAAGGTGGGCCTACATCCTAAGAAAAGGTAGTTTTAGCCATGAATTAATATCTGTAACCAGTGAATTAGGGAACAAAGGAAAAAGAACCAGTGGAATTACTAACTAATAATTCATTTATCTGTATCTATACAGTCGGATCCTCGTATCTGTGTGGGATCGGTTCGAAGCCCACTGGGGAAGCTGAAAAACACAGATTAGCGCTAATGATATTTGAATAGCAAACACTATACATAGCGTGGTCTCCAGCTTCCTGCAGCGGCCAGTTCTGGCAACTTCATTGTTAGAAATATATATATCTGGGAATGTTTCTTTTAATGTTTTTAATATTTTCACTGTGGATACGTGAATCAGTGGATACTAATCCTGTGGATATGGGGGGGTCCTCCTGTAATGATACTGCTGTACACACTTCCCATAAAGATGTGTTATTTCATGGGAGAGGGCTGCTCCCTCTACTGATGGGATAGAAACCATTTCATTGCATTCATCATTCAAGTGGTAAATTCAAAACTGGGTGACCCGCCTGCTGTTCGTAAGTACCTTCATACTGAACTAGCCATGTTTTGGAGCAACCAGCATGCAGTCCATGGCTACGTACCTTCTAGCCTTAACAACTTGGTAAAATCTGGGTAAAGGTTACACTCTACTGACATAGACCTTGAAAGTCCAGAGTAACCTTCACACACAATAAAGTAGCAGAGTACAAACGATATACAGTGGTTCCCCGCATAGCGACGATAATCCGTTCCAGGAAAATCGTTGCTATCCGGAATCATCGCTATACGGAACAAAAAACCCCACAGGAATGCATTAAACCCCGTTTAATGCGTTCCTATGGGGGAAAAACTCACCGCTATGCGGAAATCCTCCATACAGCTGCCATTTTCACCGCCCGGTATGCGAGGAAACCGTGCGAAAACACTGCGGGTGGTCATTTTTTTCCCCAGCACCCATTTTGGAACCGCCAAAAAAACATCGCAATGCCCACTTTGGAACCGCCAAAAAAACATCGCAATGCGAAAATCGGTAAGCGAAATGCTTACCGATCATCGCAATGCATTGTTTAGCCCATTCAGAACATCGCAATATGATCGCTTTTGCGATCGCAAAATCCGCATCGCTATGCGGATTCGTCGTTAAACGGAGTGTTCGCTATGCGGGCCACCACTGTATACAATATTTCGATGAACCAAGGACGTAGGTAGATGCTTGATTAGGGGAAGAAGAATTGCTTCAAGGTATGATCTAAAAATATCAAACCTGAGTCTGGAAGCGGACACAAGGGGATGCCGAATCCAGGACCACCTCTTGAGTAAGCCTGCTCTTCTCACCGATCCGTAGGGAGAATGTCACACTGCCACGCAGCCCTCCCGGCTGGGCAATTTCCAGGGGTTGAAGAAGATGCATGATGGGCTTCCTGAAAACGACAAGAAGAGACAGAAGCTGCCTGATGAATGAATAACGGGTCAAACCAGCGGTTCATCCAGGTCAAAACTGCTGTCACCAACTTTCTGGGGTGTTAGGGAGTTATTTTTCCAGCCCTACCCAGAGATAATGGAGACACGTCAACGGATGCAAAACCACTTTACTACTACATTGGGACCCACACATCCTTAGGGCATGGGTTCCTCGCCCCCTGCAGATGCTGAAAAATGCAGATTATGGTGAGCACTATTTTAATAGTGAACAATATGCATAGTCTCTGGCTGCCTTTAGTGGTAACTTCATCTTTGGAAATCTGTATTTCTAGGATTTTTCTTTTAATAGTTTTTAGCCCGTGGATAAGTGAATCAGTGGATACTGATCTTCTGGCTAAGGAGGACCTCCTGTAATGAACTATGGTCTTGAGTGTTTTGCATCAAACTAGCTGGTTCCAAGATCCAATGGAAGAGGGTTTATAATGCACAGAAAAAATACCCAATACTAGAACAGCATGGGCTCTGTACAGCATGTCCGGATGTCAAAAGGTCTGGGTGAGCAAGTTACATTTCCTTCTATTTCCTGTCTGTCTGTCTCCTAATAATCTCATTCCAGTTCCACCTAGCCCTGTCTGGGCCACTACAATACACTCTGATGGGCAAAAGGAGTCTTCAGGCTGTAAAAGAAGATTAAATCCACTGAAAAGAATGTGACTCCTTAGGCATGAGTAATGTTGATAACTTCAATGAGCCTGCAGTTGCTGAACTAAAACTGGATTTGGCCGATAGGATGATAAGTCATCTCTTGTTTGCTGGAATCACAAGAGGTACAAAGAAAAATCTGTAGCATGCAGATCAGAAAATTCTGAGCTGTACCCGAGTAAAAAAGGCACCTACCTGGTCTCCAGGTGATAATCCATCACATCCCAGGCATCCCAGTACAAGGGAACATCGTCAAATATCACAAACTGGTTAGCACAACAACCTTCAGAGATGGACTCTCTGGAACAAAACACAGAGACCGTTCAAGCAGAACACAGCGTGTGGCTCCAGGAGGAGGTGCAAATGAGACAGAATCGGATTTTAGGATTAGAGAAATGTACGAACCGCCAAATTGACAGTTCGTGCCTGCTCATTTCTCGGCCAAACGGGTGTTCGGTGCTTCCCAAGCCTGCCTCCCCAGTGGGCGCTGCCTCAGAGGGGCCGCCTGCTAGAGGAGGCGAGGCAGGGAAGAGCCAAACATCGGTCTGGCCAAGATACGAACTGCCGGTTGGGCAGTTCATGCCCCTCTCGAATTAGGATGAACATTCTACAGATAAGAGCCATTCTGGGGGACACAGGAACCTTAAGTTGTGTCGCTGGATTGTCCTTCATTGCAGATGTTTAATGAGGGGCTAGGTGGCCATTCGGGTGCTGCTCTATTTGCATCCCATGGCAGTGATTTAGATTAAACCACTCTATTATTCCAAAGAATTGCATTCTTTGTAACTGTAGAGCAGTTCAGTCGGGTCTGAAAAATACCTCCTGGGATCTGCTAGACAAAGCGAGGAGACACGGCCTGTGGTATCCAGACGGACGTGGACAAAACCATTCTCCATGACTACGGATCCATCTGCCTGGAAAGAAAAGATCTTTTTAAAAAAATCAATGGACTCAAATCTTTCAATCTAATCCCCCACCCATGAACAGATCTAGTTTGTAGATCTTTTAAAAAGAGTTTAAATCAGTTACTCTGCACACCGTAGTTTTTAGCTTACAATCTTACTTGCAGGCCCCTGAGCACGGAGGGAAATTTAAGGAGATGCCTGGCCCTTTTGCCTCCCTAGCTAAAACCGAGCAGGTCTTCTGCATGAGCCGGTCTCAGGAAGGACAGTTAGAAAATATGCAGAAATACAGCTACTAAATGAAAGAAGATTAAATGAATTCACGGCCAGTCAAGGTGATCACTGACTACCAGTCACGATGGTGCTACCACTGGGGCCAGAAGCTGTATTGCCCTCTTAGGACCAGTTGCTGGGCCCACTGAGTGGAGGGGACCATGGCCCTCGCGCCCTGCTTGCGGGCCACTATGGAGGAAACAGGACAGTGGACCAGAAAAGTATCTGGTCTGAATCAAGCTGGGCCCTTTCTTATGTCCGCTGGGGCCCGATATTCATCGTTATTTTCTCCTTGATTTGCTACTTAAGTTCCCCAAGGAAGGCCAAGGAACAGCTCACCTCTTGGGTGACCGTCACAGGATGGGCAGGCGGGCATGAGTCCTGAACGGTGCAGTAGCCCAGGCTGGGAACCGTCACCAGAGCTGCCATGGGGAGGTACCAAAAAAGAGAGAAAAAGATGTTGTGTTTCTTTATTGGAGGAATGTCTGATCAGCCTAAAGAGTACTGCTGTTGTTGTTATTTGCCATTAGATCACCTCTAATTTATGATTGCCTTACAAAGCAGCGATCTCCATAATGGCCTGTCCTCAATCTCAACTCTTGTAGACTCAAGCCTGTGCTTTCTTTTAGGGTGTCATTCCATCTCATATTTGGTCTTCCTCCTTTCCTGCTGCCTTCGAGGGGGCAAACTTAGGCACAGGCCCTTCCTCTGAGCCTCTTCCATCCGATACCAGCGCCTACCCAGGAACAAGCCCTCGCCCTGGGAATGAGTGGACCTACCAGCTAAACTCTAAACGTTGCGGGCTGTGCTCCCACGGGACAGGTTAACATGGAGCTTGCAAATTACAAATAACCATATCCTTGTAACTTGTTACTTTTTGCATAACACAGTTACGTCTGAAAGCAATGCGACAAGAAGAACATGATTTTACTGGTGGGGCCAGTAACATTTTCAAGTTAGCTGTGATTATTTTAAAAGAGATGTTGAGGCCTCTGGACAGGGAAAGGCAGCGGTCTTATCAGCCCTAAGGGTTTTCTCGAAAAACAAAGTGAAAAACAACGAGCAGCAAAAGTAATGCAACTTTTCCATCACTTTCAGGCATAAAGACCCACCAGCCTGCGAATTAAAAGGCTTTAAAGGTGAGCCTCACTAAGTACCTAAATCCTCCGATCCCCCTGGTCCAGTTCTGGCAATGACTTCGGTTCGTTCCCACGGCAAGGTGTTCACGACCACGACACCTTCACTCATCTTCGGACCGCCTGCCGAGAGGTCCCCAAACAAAGACTGCAAAGCATCGTTCACAAGCTCAGCTCCGGCACAGCGGATTTCTGGGGAGAGAGGAGAAGGTTTTTTTCCCCTTGAGAGGGCATTTGCCCGGCCAAAGTGAGCTGAGATGGCAGCAAATATTAGAAAATGAATTCTATGTCCTCACCATCAGAACATGACCAAAACAAGGGAACAAGAAAGAGACAAAAGGGTATATGTGTGTTTTGATTAAGGCTGCCATTTAATTAAAGGAAATCCTAGTCGATCCATCACACTATTTTCAATCTGCATGGAGAAAAAGAGATTAGTTTCAAAGGGAGGAAAGGGGCAGTTATGTTTCTGGTTATACCTATGGCAGCTGCATTTGGAGATAACAATAAACGATGGGTTTAGCAAGGGCCCCTTAAGAGCAAATGCCTTTGTGCTGACCTTGTTTCTGTACACTCGGCATTTCCCCCTCCTCACCTGCGTAGTATCTCATGGCGTCCTCAGCTACAAGCTGGATGCAACTGCCTGGCAAGACGTCGTGAAACTGGTTCAGAAGCAGCAGCCTAGAGCCAGAAGTAGGGAAGGGGAAAAAACAGCTCTATGAGACCCCGGAAAGAGAGGAGGCGTTTGCCTGTACACAAGCCAGTGAGATAGGCGATCAACACAGCTCTTAGATTTCATCCTCCTTACTTAGCATGTCTCCCCACTGTCATCTGTCCAACCTACCAGATCTTCTCAGGCTAAGCTCCTCTGCGTAGCCACTCGGAGGGAGGCCCGAAAATCATCCACGAGAGAGCGGGGATTTAAACTCCCATCCTTTGGCTCTGGTTGCAACCCACAGCCCCAACCCATAGCTCAACGCTCCTGTTTTTACAACTAACCAGAAGTTCATGGTTAGGTCCAAAGGAGGAAACTCAAAGTTTGAAGCACATGCCAGAATCAAAAGCACATTTGAAGCCTTCAATACAAAATGGGAAGTTTTAAATAAAACAGAATATGCTTCTAGTCTGTGTCAAGGAATGCCAATGTGGAGATTTGCCTTCTGCCCATGCTCCCCTCTTCGGATTTGGCCATCTGCACTCCCGTTTCTACAGCCACCCACCCACCTATTGTGTGAAGCAGAAAATATATTCCTTCAAGGTCGTACCTCCAGAGGTGCTGAAGTTGAGCCGAAGGGTATTGGAAAGAAGTCCTCCTTGACAGAGCAAGACTGCTGAGAACCTCAACGTCATGGAGCAGGATCTCACAATCCCGATTTCCCTTTTTGATCTAAATCCAAAGCCACATGGATTTTTCAAAAACGAAGAACAGGGACTTGGTAATAAAATGAAAATACCACATATATGAAAAAAAAACAAAAAACGAGACCGATACAGAAAGGTGTTCCTTGATACTTTCCATTGCAAGCTTTGTATAGCCCAGAAAAATGCTCATTCAGAAGTTACCCAGAAGTAAATTCCACCTCGTTTAATAGCTAATCGGTAGAGAATTGTAGCACGTAATTGTACAGCGCAAGAGATGCAGCACCGAATGATACTACCAATCATCTTGGAAAATGTTCAAAATTTGTTCTGGTGTGTGATCATTCTACATGCTGTAAGAATTATAGAATCGTAGAATAACAGAGTTGGGAGGGGCCTCTAAGGCCATCCAGTCCAACCCCCTGTGCAAGGCCAGAATCCAAATCAAAGCAGATCGGACCGAGGGTGGTCCCATTTTCTCTTGAACACCTATGCTTTTCTGGACTACATGTCCCAGGATTCCACACCATGGTAGAAGAGTTAACACTTTATAGAATTATAGAATAGTAGAATAACAGAGTTGGGAGGGCCCTCTAAGGCCATCCAGTCCAACCCCCTGCGCAAGGCCAGAATCCAGATCAAAGCAGATCGGACCGAAGGTGGTCCCATTTTCTCTTGAACACTTATGCTTTTCTGGACTACAGGTCCCAGGATTCCACACCATGGCCTGCGGGATTCTGGGGCAATGGCCCCCAAAAAGAATTGTCACCAGGCTCCAGAGGTAACAGTGATCTAACAGCCTACCTCCTGCATTTCCTTGAAGAGGCTTACCTGCCCGTGGGTGGTATATGTGCCATTATGCAATTCCAGGAAGAGTTCTCCAACCCAGGTACACAGCTGGGCCTTTTGCTCTTCCAGAGCTGAGAAAAGCTGGTCCGGGACAGACATTTGGACCCTGCAAGTAAGATAAGAAAAGACCCGTTTGCAAAGGCAAGCCCCAGGAATGGGAGAACATGCCATTGGCCTGGAAGAACTTAAGTCGATGCAGTTCAGTTGATCTCAGCCTTCAGTTGTTTTGAACGTCATCCACTAGAAGCACCAGTCAGCCCAATCGTGGGTAAGCTAGCTGTAGGAGCTGAAGCCTAAAATACTTTGAGGGCCAAATGCTGAGAATAGCAGGTCTACTCCAAATCCCAGCTGAAGGCAGGATGCAACCATCGCTAGTCCGATTTACAACTACTGGTTAGAGATGGGCACGAACTGCTGGTTTGGCAGTTCATGCAGGTTCATCTTTCAGCTGAATAGGTGTTTGGTGCTTCCCAGCTGTGCCTCCTCCAGCGGGCGCCCACTCAGAGACAGCACCCTGGCTTCCCAGGGCAGGGAAGCCAGGCCACGGCTTCTGAGTGGGTGCTGCCAGAGGAGGTGGGGGCTTTGAAGCACCAAACACCTGTCTGGCTGATTAACGTACCGGCATGGGCCACCCAACCAGCGGTTTGTGCTCATCTCTAGTAAACAAGTGTTATATGTACACATATCTGTCTGTCTGCATGTATCTGTGTGTAGTATCTCAGTACTCAGGCAATCTAAGTATTGTGCCAGGAAGAAACTATTTTTCAACCCATGCAAGAATATACAAATTAAGAAAACATGCCCAGTCCCTTTTATTTCTCACAATTTGTTCTACAGTATGATAATAATCAAGAGTAAGGAGCTGAGTAAGTGACTGAAGCCTCATCTCAGGCAAGTCACTGAAAATCTTATTGCAAATGCC